CGGGACCTCTGCTTCCTGGGACGCACAAGTTCTCAACTGCAGTGAGGACGCGTCGGTGAGGACCCAGGACTGGTTCCGCCGCTTGGACCCGCGATTTCACCAGTTTGTCTGCACAGACACTGCAGGTACTTCCCCATGCGCATCAACCACCCGGAGAAATGCGTGGATGGGAAGGTGCACCTCCTCATGGTGGTCAAATCCGTTATCGAGCACATGACCGGCGGGAGGCGGTGCGCAAAACCTGGGGCAAGGAGCACACTGTGGATGGGAAGAGATCAAAACTTTATTTCTTCTGGGAAGCCCGACGACTGGAAAAGACACCAAGAACCTCCAGAAATTGATCGAGTACGAGAACCTGATCTATGGGGACATCCTCCAGTGGGACTTCATGGACACCTTCTTCAACCTGACCCTGAAAGAGGTCAACTTTCTCAAATGGTTCGACATCTACTGCTCAGGCGTACAGTTCATATTCAAGGGAGACGATGACGTGTTTGTGAATACGCACAATCTGCTGGAGCTCATCGGCTTCAAAGTGGAGGAGCGCAAAGAGGCCGATTTGTTTGTGGGGGACACCATCTCCAAGGCGATCCCCATCCGAAACCGGCAGAGCAAGTACTACATTCCCAAAGAGCTGTACGATAAGCCATATCCACCTTATGTCGGAGGTGGGGGGTTTCTCATGTCCTCCCAGCTGGCCAGGAGGCTCTTCGTGGTCTCAGAGGACCTAGAGTTGTACCCGATTGACGATGTGTTTTGGGGATGTGCCTACAGAAGCTTCACTTGGCCCCAGAGATGCACCCGGGCTTCAGGACCTTCGGCATCACCAGACGCAGGGTGAGCTCCATGAACAGCGAGCCATGCTTTTATAAAAACCTCATCGTGGTGCACAAACTGAGCTCGGAGGAGCTGCTCAGGATGTGGAGCGTGGTGCACAACGAGGAACTGGTTTGCGCTCAAAGGACCTCCATATGATTGTTAATTGTCAATTATAAACGAAAGTAAATCAATTCATTAAAGCTGAACTGCTGGTTGGAATAGACAGAAGACCTGAGTTTTTAACTGGTCATGCATGATGATCTTCACTGACTCCCGTAGTAGGGGCATTTTCACTCAGTAATGACGCAACCATTTACAGAGTCATCAATATCAACAGCAACATTTATTTCCCAGTGATGGTTTTGTTACTACACAGAACATCCAGATGTTGCATTTCCATTTTCTGTGTGTAAAATTAAAAAAGGAGGCAAGCTATTCTGAACAGGTTGGGTTTCCTCTTCACTAGTCCTGCTACCTAAACCACTATGACTCCACAGTGTGCAAGCATCAGAGGAAGGTTTCTAGGTTTCTGATTACTGATGCAATTTCAAATTGGTGATCCATCACTAAATCTGAGAACCAGCTTTGATGCAGAGACATGGTTGTAATAGCTTCGGTGCGTTTGTGCAGGCATGAATAAGACTTGACTTGTTACATCCAGGTGTTCCTCTGAAACAGCTGATTTTATTATTATTGTGTCAATTTCTGATTTCAGGATTTCAGTGCGACTGTGAAAGTGAACTGTATGGAACACAGCACGGAGCACAGAAAGTGATTTTTTAAGGGTACTGACATTGTAAAAATCAAATGAATTGGTTTTCTTAAGTTAATATATTGTTTTATTTCAGCTTTTATTTTATTTTTAAGAGTTACTTCATTTGTGTATGATTTTGCAGAAGCAAAAACCAAAGAAACTAAAGGGATATTGTAGATTTATGTCTGATAGTGTAAATAAAACTGGAAAACCCTTGTCAACTTTGCATATATAGAATGAATGTAGCAGCATTTGATTCATATTGATGTTTGAACAGCTGGGGAACAGCATGGGAAAGATTGGGAATAAGGTGACTGTCTCAAGTTCTACAACTTTGTCAGTTTCATCTGATTGCTAAATAAAGGGTGTTAGAGTTGCTTATCACAGATACCTTCAACTCTTAGGTTTAAATAGTATCGAAAACCTTTTGTCATGTGAAACCACTTCTGCAATGTTCAACTTAATGCAGCTTTATTTAAACAAATACAGGTTCGTTTGCAGAAAAAAAAAATGATGCCAAAGTAAATACAGACTTCTATGCACATAAAAACACAATAAAATATCCACTGTTGCAATAGTCCTCAATACAGAAGCACATTTAAGCCAACATGGTGGATTGGTAATTTAGAAACCAAATATACTCTCTCATACACCAACTCTAATCAAGTTGTTTAGTTGTTTCTCCACTAATAAAACAGTTACTGTTCTCACACAGATTAATTAAGAATTTACCCTCCTATCATTACAATTTGTAAACACCTCATACTGTTTTAAGGTTGTTTCTGTTAGTTCTTGGCTGTAGACGAATCACAGATATATTACAATCAATATCGTCATAACACTGTACTATAGAAGTAGTAAAATTATAGCTATTATTATAGTTATAGTCATTATTGTGAGTTCTTATACTCTGACTTTGTGGCTAAAATCATTTTAAAGCCATTGAAGTGCCTTAAACTGTTTGTTGATTCAGCAGAAATCAAGTAGACTTGAAAAAAAAAAACATAAAACAGGTGCTATACAAATTCTACTGTATACCGTACATTCATCTGCATTTTGTGTTTATATCATTTGAATAACTCTGTTAAGTTAAAAGGTCGACTTGTGAGCATATAAAACTGTGCCATCTACTCAAGATTGTCAGTAGGCATTAAGGAAAACAAATTAAAGTCCAAACTGTGCTGAAAATTCAGCGGTGAAGAATCATCTCTTTGGCAAAGTGCTACTTCATTTCTTTTATATAATTTATTTAAGATAAGAAATAAAAATAAATATGTAAACAGATGGCAAAGCGTGAAGCTGACAGCAAAGCTACACTCAGGTTGTCCGTGGCTGTAGGACTGAAACATCGTGTGCTGCAGGGTTGCCAAGGGAGGAAAAGTCTTCTCCTTGTAACCAAACCTCCTTCTTACTCTCCTCTCAGTACTGCTTCTACAAGGAGAGGAATAGTTTCTAAGTGTGCTTCCCTGGTGTATGTCCTTTGGCCAGGGGTGCCAGGGCTGGGATCCGGCTGCCTCTTCCCATGGGTCTGGCTCTGGCCCCGACCGACAAGGCCTGCTTTAGCTTGGCTCCACCGACAGCCCTGCCTGGACACACACACACACACACACACACACAAAATGACATCCTTACAGAAAACGTTTGTAAGCCCTTTAACACAAAGACACCCCTCTGTTCTTGTATACTATTTACCACTAAACAAAGCAGCCTGCATTACCTGCCAAGTGAGTATAAACAGAAAGGTTTCGTGACGTCAGCAGCTCATGATGATGTGGGTGCATACTGGGAGAGATCACCTCATTTCATTACGTATTGTCACTGAGTCTATGCTGCGGGTCTCTTCACAAGGCTTAATTTCAATAGATGCTAATGCTATCCAGTTCTGTCAGCCTACAAGTGGAATAACAAAATGTCAAAAAAGGCCACAGATCCTTCCCTTTATCAAAAGTAAAATGGGATTAATATTATATGGCTTAACACCTTTGATAATCTATTTCCTGGGGAAAACCCTGTAAAGTACACAGATTTACAGGTTAGCTTTTGCTCCTTAAGTGTTAAATTCTGACTATGCACACAGGCAAAGTAGTGACTTATTAGAAAGGTTTTTAGAATCTATATATCAGCTGGGTCATTATGACACCTTGTGGCACCCCTGGTGTAAAAGGTCAGCGGATCTGCCCTCCTGCGCGTCTGACCTCCTCTGGGACCTACCTGTTGTTATCAAAGTTGCTTTAAGTTATGATCCTTAAGATTTCAGTCCTGGTTGATTTGGCAACACACGTGGTTACTGGTGATAACTGCTGGTGTGTTTTATAACACAGCTTCCAGACTTTTAGACCACTGCGGCCAAAAAAACCCCCACTCCTTGAGCTGCTACACTTTCAGAAATGCAACAGACGAAGAGCGAGTGGTTAACAATGTGTTTACAGCGCAGGCGAACAAAACATGGGCTGAGAGGAATCACAGAACCGTGTTGTTTTAATAAAGGGACAGTCAGCAATGTTGGGCAACAGAAAAAACTCAACTCATCGGCTTTTGTCTTTTGCATCATGTCCAGTATGTGCGTGCATCGTTTCCTGTGATCCTGTGATCGGTACACATGCATGGGTACACAATTTAAATAAAAATGGGGTGTGATATAATGAGCCTGATGGATTATAACTTTAATATATTCAGCAGCGGTCCTCTAGCCCAACAGTCACATCAAGATGGTGATCAGTTAGTTATTAGTAAGTAATGTGACATGTCACTCAACAAAACAATGGACATCCACACTCATAGAACTGTACAAAAGTAGTGTTTTGTGATATGATGTAGCTGTAACTGGGTGTTTCAATCATTAACAATCTACCTGCAACCGTTAATATGATTGTGAAATATCACTCAAAATGTATAAGCTGCAAATTAAATCCGCCACTATTTTCATGTGCCTCATGCTGTGAGTCAGGAAACCATAGTGGAAAAGCTGCAACATGAAATTTTACCAACAAGCATGGGCACTTTGTGTAGCTCCAACACTGAGCGTTGGGGAGGTAAGGTGTAAGCAGAGGGTGTATGAATGCTTTACCTTGTGCTGGCTGGGTTCTCTGGGACACCACAGTCCTGCGTGAGTTTTGTTTACAGCCCTCCCTTCCCATGAGGTGAGCCTTCCAGGCCTGGAACAGGGACAAAAGTAGCTCAGTGAGTCCGTTTATCTCAAAGGTACTTTCTCAATCGGGACAACCATGGGTGACTGAAGGCCCAGTCAGGGCCCGAATGGCTGCCCTCCCTCCCACTAACACTGTAGTCTTTCATTGGGTCTACGCTCAGAGCTCTGGCAGTGAGAGTGAAACTTTGTGAGGTTTTTTTCTTTATTAATTTTTAAGGGTGTGTGGGGTGAGAGACTGCATGTTGTGAATCAGATTTTGAATCACAGCAGAAATTGAGTTACAACTCAGGTTCTTTAGCGTTAGTTAGTTTATCTCTGCCTGTTTTGTTTATTTGATTTTGGTCAGTCTGTTCTGTGATTCTTGTTTCTGCATGTTTACCTGTCTTGTTTGGTTGTGGTGTGTATATTGGTTGGTGTCCATGTACCTGTTAAGTGTTTTACATTATGTTCTAGGTGTGGAGCATGAAGGGACTGCAAACTTTCACTTTCACTTTGTTGTCCAACCATGTGTTGTATACCGATAATGATTCTTGATCACTAATAGGTTGTTCAAAGCTTTACTTAATAGTTTTAAAATAGTTTCATGTAGTTCTTCTGGCTTTTTTATATTTATTCCAAACCAACTGCTGCCACGACTTGCATTAACATAAAAAATACATTACTCCTTGAAATTGTTTACAGCCAAAGTCAAATCATTATAGTTTGGTTTGGGAAAAGTGGGCAAAAGAGAGTGGCTAAACAAAATTTTGTTTTGTTTTGTTACAGACAAGAACTCAGAGTGGACAATCCCCAACCTCACATAATGATGTCTCTTAAACAAATAATTCTATAACCAATCACAAGCCTTTCCTGGACCCTCACCAGTTTGCTTTCAGATCCACAGAGGATGCCATCTCCACTGCCCTCCACTCAGCCTGAGAAAAACAGTACCTACTGTACAACATCAGAATGCTGTCTGTGGATTTCAGCTCAGTGTTCAACACAATCTCCCCATGAAGCTGATCAGCAAACTCAGCACTCTGGGTTTAAATACAACACTCTGCACCTGGATACTGGACTTCCTCACAAACACACCCCAGTCAGTTCGGATTGGAGGACTCACCTCCTCCACTCTAGTGCTCAACACCGGAGCCCCCCAGGTCTGTGTGCTCAGCCCCCTCCTGTTCACGCTGTACGCCCACGACTGCATCTCCGACATGGAGAGAACTCTGTTGTGAAGTTCGCAGATGACACCACCATCAAACTTCTAATGTGTAAATTAATCATTCCAAGGCCATTTCTGTTCTTAAAGGTAAGGGTTAAATAGAGTGTGTGGAGTGGGATCAGGAGGGGGATTGTAATTAAATTAGAGGCAGTAGCAGTAAGATTTGAATAATGAAAAAGCTATCTAACAGTGACTCAAGTAGGAATGGTCGAGGGAAAGAATTTTTGTTCAACCCTGGGGATGCGTAAAGAGATCAAACAGGTCCAAGCCTGGGCTGGGGGGATGAAGGCCTGAAGGAGTACCAAAACCTGACAAACTGGGAGGCTTGGACTTCGATTAGAGGGGGAATGAGACTCAGAATTTTTAGGCAAAGAGATGGCTGACTCTTTCAAAATGAATAGGCACACTGAGCACACTGACCACACACGGTCACATACTAGGTTTTGACCTAGTCTTCTTGTTTATCAGGTAGTTTACACCTTCCTTCTGGATCAGCCAATCAGAAACCAGGAACAACAGTATCCAATTCTGCCAGCACACAACGACGACGAGGCATCAAGTTATAAACTACCTCTATCAACCTATCAAGCAGCAATCCAAATGGAGGTACTCTTGTCTTGTACAGTGTTGTAATTGACTGTCCGGCTTCCCAGAGTCGGAAGTGGGTGTTTGTGCACCTTCCGCATACCATTGTGCCTTCTTGAAAGACGAGTTGCATGATTCATTAGACTCCACAATGACAGAAACGTAACAGAAGACAAATGGAAGGAGACACTGTTCCTACATCTTTTAGTGGGGCGGAGAATCTTTTACACTGCATGTCTTTTGAAAAGTTCTCTATCACACAAACTACCCTGTGATTATTTTATATAATATCCATAGTTGAGATTATATTTAATGTATGCTAATATTTTTGTATAACCTACTTTCATGACATATCCTCATTGATAACTTCTAACTGTTCTAGCTAATATTTACTAGTACCAGTAAAACTGTAAATCTTTCTAGTTACAGATGAACCATTGCCCACACAATGGTGCTCACAGCACCAAGCCACCTCAACAAGAACTCCACTACTGCTGGAATTAAAGATAACCTGAATTATTAACTTCAGTCCCATGTTTATAAATAACAGCATTATCCTAAACCACCCTGACTACAAAAAAAGATTTAGGGAATGTAAATGCAAATATATATATCAAAGTTTTATCTATAAACAGCTCATTTCTGTCTTCACTACATCTTAAACTAGCGTAATAGGAATGTGAAGAATGTGATGGTACTGTATCTTATGAAAATTGAAACAGCCTATTAAGGACAAAGGGTCCCCCTGCTTTGAAGTCTTTAAACAACAACAGCGGTGTTTTACTTGAACACCTGTTTGCTCCTCAAGCCTAATTTTAGATGCTTTTAGAGTTTCTGTGTTTAATTAAAAGAGGGAACATAGAAAAGCTCAAGTTCTTTGAAAACCTCAAATGAAGCTAGATTTACCACATTTAGCTTATTTTTTTCCTTCTTCTCATAAGTTTCAATTTGTGATTGTTTAGGAAGCAGCTCTGTCCAAGTGACCTAGGTTTTTCTGTTTTTTATTTTGCAAAGAAACAACTGGCAATATAGCATATCACAAAAGCTGTGCAATGCTGTACATCAGCTCATGATTTGCTTTCTAGCCATTGCTTTACAAGGACACATAGTCACAGAGATGGGAGTGACAACTTTACTGTTGGCTCTCTCTCTCTCTTGTAATTTGCATGCACGGACTCTCACCTCCTCTCCAGGCATGAAGTTGTTGTGACACAAAGGACAGTGGTTGGAGTCTTTACCCGAGACGGGGGCTGAAACGGAAACGCAACACCTTTAAGCCACCTGTTATACAATTACAGAAAAAGCCCCCAAAAACTCCAGAGAAAATTAGCAAATTACACCACTGAAGGAGAACAGTTTGAAATACAATACACTTTTGAGGCATGTGAACATCGGGATAAACACAGTCTATCCTAACTCATAATTACTTTAAGTTAACTCATAATCAGCAAGGGTAGGCATGTGACTGGTGGTAGACACGTAGTGTAAGCCGTGATACAGTAAGCCTCTTTCTTCAAGTTAGGAGGTACAGTAACAGTGAACTGGTAAAGGCCTGGTCACACAAGCATTTATAACTGCCATATTTCAGCTGTCAATGTCTGATACGTTTCTTTTTTAAATGGTGTTAACCTTTGTCAGCTTAGCAACTGAGCCAACTTCCTGTTAGCAAGTCAGCTAATTTTTTACCTGTTAGCTCGCTAACTAACCCCACGAATCATCACTTCACTAAACTTCTATACTTCTGTGTGTACTGGCCTTACTTAATCCCCCAATTTTAGGACAACACAGCTGGACAAGGATCTTAACTCTTAACAGTCTAACATACAGACAAAGTAACTAATAAATCGTTTTTTAAGCCCAACAGCAGAATCTCCTTGAATGGCCTGGCCTCAGTCAAACTGAGCATGTGTTTCTCTTATTGTAGATTATATTGTAGGCAGATGTACAGCTGGCTGCAGTACAGGCTTTACAGAGCATCACTGGAGCAGATACCAAGTTTCAGCTTCACCCTGTCATGTCTGGCCAAATATCTACAAACAAATATTCAATATGATGGCTTTTTGTTAGATGATGTTGACTTGTCCAAATGAATTACATCCCTTAAAATTGGGGAACTACGTATAAGGATGACAAGGGTGTAAACACTATAATATTACAGCTATGTCGCACTTACAGTCTTTGTTTCATTTCATAATCCAACAAACTGGAGCAACAAAAATGTGTAATGTTTACAATTCCGGCATGGTAACTTTGTTGCATGTCAAAGAAAATACACCTGTATAAACTAAACCAAACAAATCAAAATGACAAACAAAAAATCAGATGGTTTTCATCACATATAAAGCATTTTCAGAAAATGTCCAATGGTATGAAAGAGTGGGACTAAGAACTCACGGTTGCAGGCAGGACCTTGGACATGGCGAGCCAGATCTTCCGTGGCCATGGCCTCTGAGCAGCGTGGGCACTGGCTAAACTTGGACCTGCTTTCGCATTCACCCAGTAGGTGCTCTGTGAGGCTGGCTATCTCGACTACCTGTGAACAGAATGCTGTGAACAGAGCTGTGCACAAAGTCTGAGGTGGTGCTAGGCTGAGGTCCTTCTCTCAAGAGAACTGAAAATACCAATGAAAATATAACAGTCTACCTGTCTACATTCATCGCAGCGTCTCAGCATAGGACAGTGTTTCCAGTAGTGAAGGTCCAATCCATCCTCTGTGAATGACTCGTCCGTTTTACCGCAGAATATACACAGGCTGAAAGATCAGATCAGGCTGCAGATCAGATCATATGCCTTTACAGCATTCGCAAGTACTGCGGCACTAATGACATAAAAATATTACACTAAATGAAAGCCAAATAAATACTTATGCTGGGAAAAGAAAAAAAACACTAAACCTGTGAGTTTGAGACTAGGCTTATTTTCCATTTACATGTCGTTTTTTTTGCATCTTTCAATTATTCTAGTGATTTTTTAAAGCTCTCCATTGAATTATGAGCCACTTACTTGTCCAGATAGTTGACAGATTGTTGGACGTCATCACTGTTGGTAACCTTGTTCTGGGGCACTTTAGTGACAGCTGGAAATTAATCAGAAAGTATCTGTTACTTGTCATAACTGCACTAATTGGACGCCACCCTTTCAAGTATCGACCCAATGGGATTCAGCACTTTATAATAGAAAGACTGTACAGATGTTAAACAGGATGTAAAGACTTTGGGCAAACATGTAGGGTGCATTATTTTGTTAATAGAGCTTTGTAAATGTATGCTTTCATAGCTGGGTGGTGTGCCTGCACTCTATTTCAATAGGTTGACGGTAGAGATGGCTGGCAGCATCAGTGTCATGCCTGAGATGTTGATATAATGCATTCAAGTTGAGTTGATTCTGTTATTGACATACAAAGAAAGGTACCATCCTTGGAGATAAAGTGGTTAAACTCATGACTGCACTGTTGCTGGGCAACTGACAACAAAAGTAGACAATGAAAGGCTCCCTATGATCTTTGAAAATGGTCAATGATTTTTGCTTTTTTACATTTTAGTGCCATGCTGAAGAAACAAAAGAAAAATTAGGACAAAAGTAACTACCATGGGTTTACAAGTCACATGTCACAATTGAAGCCCTTTGAACTACCTTAAAATTTCCACTTGCATGTGGACGGATCACATTTGAAGGCATTAGTGCAAGTATTTGCACGTCTCAAAAGACTACGTCAGCCCCATATTGCTGTTTTGTGCTTCAAAGCAATACAGCCCTGGAGGTGTGCAGTATATAAGGATGTTTTACTTTATTAAAGAACAGCTTTATGTTAAGTAGGAATTGATGTGCTTTTGTCTTCTTTATATTCAAACATGTGTACGTACTTGCTTTGCCAGCTTTTTGGGACTGTTTCTCAACTTTGGCAGCTTCTTTCTTGGGCATTGGTCCTTCGATGCTTTCATGTCCTCTCTCCTTCACAAGCAAGCAGAGAAGTGTGAATAGATGTCATAAGCACAGTTCCAAAAACAAATTCTATCACACAAGGAAAGCCTTAACAGCAATTTCAGATAGATGAACTGAATTTCTGACCACCTAGAGAGAAAAAATTCTACCAAGTCTGTGTGGAGTCATAAATACAAATTAGTAACCATTACAAGAAGTGATGTAATTGCAGTCTGATGACTGTTCCACCTACTGTGATCTCCTTCAAGGCAGCCAGCTGCTCCTGAAGGGAGTGGATCTCCTCCTTCTCTTTTTGCCCATCCTGCTGACCCTTCTTCACAGTCTGGGTGAAAAGTGACACACCATCAGCCTCTCAGTTTTAAATTGTCCTCTGTTTGCTTCTTTTCTCCTGTCTTTCTCCTGTTAATATAATTTCAACATCACCTCGCTAACTTTCATTTTCTTCATTTGAAGTTGAACGGCTTAAAGCTCTGCAGACTCTTTGGACTGCAGTGACAAGATGAGCACATGATCAGACATTTTAGCAGTTGAGCACTCCTCAACAGAATGGCCATTACGTAATGGGAAGACTAGGTCTCTAATAATACCTGTAAGAAATTAAGCTTGGTCACTGGGTGAGTCACAAACTTTATGTTAAAACAGTTGGAACACAAGCTGGCTTACTGACTGGGAACACTAATACAAAACATTAAAAAAAGTCAATAGATGCATGCATGGTTCTGTTTAGCCACATGCAGTAACAAAGAGACAAGACTGCCTGTAATGGCTCTGTTAAACGAAATGGCAGAGGTAGTTTACTGTCTATGCAACATGAAACACTGCCTCCTCTTCCTCGTTACTGTCAGCTTAAAAAAATAGAAAGACACGGTGTCATGTAGTCTCCTCTAAGAAGCTGAACTCTTTTCAGCTTGAGAGAGTGCTCCCATCTGCCACGTCTGACAGTTTCACCGTCCACCTACCAGCTGCTCCTTGTTGATTACAATCTGTTGAAATGAACAGTGTGAACACACCCTCTGCCTGGGAGTTTGATGCAAATTATTTTAACACAGTGAAACCCATCCAAATGTCAGAAAATTTATATTTTTATATATATAGAAATACGATATTTTAGTTATTCAAATTTTTCTTCTTGAAGTGAAGATGTTAAGTATCAACGAGAGATTCGTTTGCATTGAAGTAAAAACAAACACTTCTTACACGAGTCTCCACCAGCTTTCCGTCAATCTTGGCAAAGCCATCGAAGAGGGATTTGTAGAGGAAGTTCTTCCGTGCGGCGGCATCATTGTGTGGAAGGTAGCTGAGAACAGCAGCTCTATACTGCTGGTACATGGATAAGATGATGCGCACTGCCAGCTCTCGAACCGCTGATGCACTGTGCTCCAAAGCTGCTGTACAGAACTGACAGAGAAAAACTGGGTTTCTAGTAACATGTGAATATTGAGCAAACATTTGACTGACTGGATGTTACTGTTCCAACATATACCATTAGACAGCTTCAGCATTGAAAAGAGACACAACCAACAGATCCACAGAGCATCAGAATGATGTTTGTGGATTTCAGCTCAGCATTCTACACAATCACCCCCTGATCGGCAAACTCAGGACTCTGGGACTGGATATTGGACTTACTCACATACAAAATCTCGCAGAGTGGTGCTCAGAGAACAATCTCCTGCTCAATGTCTGCAAAACCAAGGAGCTGATCGTTGATTTCAGGAAGAAGGAGATAAAGACACACACTCCTGTCTACATCAGTGGAGCTGAGGTGGAGCAGGTGAACAGTTTCAGGTTCCTGGGAATCAGCAGCACAGAGAACCTCACATGGTCGTCTCACATCTCCAGGCTGGTGAAGAAAGCTCAGAAACCACTATATTTTTCAGGTCAAATTCCCACGCCAACGTCTTGTCAGCTTTTACAGAGGAGCATCCTTACTGGAAACATCACTAACATGGGATGTGCACGGCCCAGGACCAGAGGCTCTGCAGCGGGGGATTAAAACTGCTCAGAAGATCATTGGTACCCATCTCCAGAGCATCAGTGATGTCGGTGAGGTGCCTACGCAGAGCCCAAAGGATACTAAAGGACAGTACCCAACCAGCCACAGCCTGTTCACCCTGCTGCATTCTGGGAAGAGAGATAGAAGTTTCTGCTGCCGCACCACCAGACTGCAGAGCAGCTTTCCCCCCCAAGCTATCAGACTCTTACACTCACATTCATCCTTAGCACTGCTCCTTTGATTATGGTTTATTTCTGTTCACCATTTTTAGAATTGCTTTTATATGTATATTGTCTGCTACGTAGCAGAAGGGAGTTTACAAACTCAGTTTCACTCTACACCCTGCTGTTTTGTGACAAATTAATCAACCTTGTACATTCATTTAAAAAATAAAGACTTTTTTGTTGTTGACATGACACTTATTTGGTACTCCAAGTATGATTTAATTTAAAATGATAAACAACAGAAAAGGGGAAAAAACTCTTCTACACACTTAGAAACCACCAGACCCATGGGCAACTAGTGATCATAAACCTGAGCGGATTACCATACGTTGACACACTTAAGTAAGCAGGTCTCTGCAGTAACCTCATATGATAACTGTCATGCATATTAGAAACCAAGTTTCCATAATCGGAGTAGGGAATTAGGGAAAACAGATTTCCCCAGCTACAAATCTCCTGGAGAAAGCCAATGTCTTGGTCACGAGATTGCATAACCGGGTTTCTATTCTTTATACCTATGCACATGTGGATGACAAAGTCAGATTATCAGACTCTCAGATTGTATCAATGCAACCATATAATCAAAATAAATATAATTCAAAGTCTGACTCAAATTGAAACTAATGCTGAACATTTGACTATTTGTAAAATTCACATGCAGGCTTATACGGAACAAATATGAAATCTGATGACAAAACAGTCAACACTCAACACAGATGTTGATTCTAATGCATGTCTTTGCCTTATGTAGGCAGTTTAAATAACTTTGTGTGTAGGTGACATACAATAAAACTTGCCTTGCCTTACCTACAGTATGCTGGGGAAACAAGGCAGGCCACAGAAAATATTCAGCGCTTGTTTTATAAAGGACGATGTCAAAGTTTTATGAAGCAATATTTGCAGTCTAGTTTCAAGTGCAAAACAGCAACATTGTAGAGAAAGTTCTTGGAGGAAAATGCACATCGTGACGTAAAAAGAGCCCATTTTCGGACATAATCTCAGTTCCAGAGGAGAAATCCCACTGGAGAGCATTAACATCCAGAGGTAAAATGTGTGCAAAGGCCCCCCATCCCTAACTCAAGAAGTTCAGGGACAGCTTCCCATTATTCTCTGTTGTCTCTGCCTACCGCCCACTTCTCATTTTAATTACTGAAATTCAATCACCACTTTTTTTCCACTCTGGCTCCCGTTTTGGAGCAGGTCACCCAGGTAACAGCGAAGGAAAGAGGAAAACCTCTGTAGAGCTGTCAAACAGGCTGGTCACATAAGCTAAAAAGGGGAAGATGCCAGTAAAAGTTTTAGCTGTGAATTTAGGGATTCAGTCATTAACCAAGTTTCTCGAGTGTATTAAATGAATTAAAAGATATAATCTATTGAGTGCGGCTACTACCACCAAACCGAAGGCACGGTGATGGTATATGCCATTTTTTGCACGTATTGGTGGGATTCATTCATATTTGGAAAGGAACATTAGATTGTAAAATCTAAGTATGAGGAATTATTTTAAGCATCACACCTACTTCACCACCTTCACTGGCACACGCTGATGCTTACATGTCTGGTATATCTAGTATATCGTTTTCTTTCTCCACTCACACACACACACACACACACACACACACACACATAGTTGAAACTGTCTGATTTAGGCTGCCTAGCCACAACATACAGTATATAAGAGTTGTGAGTTTTGGTCATGCTTTGTGTGTCCTGAGGAAGAAGACAGCTATCTGTAATGGGTCGGCACAGTAAACACAAAGTTTACTGCAGCAACCAAGTACCTACCCTGAACCTTCTGTACTTTTTAATTAAAAGATAAGCTGCCATGTAACAGTAACAGATCTGTATCATATCCATCTCTGTTAGCCTGGTTTTAGACATTCACAGCAAAAATCAAGGATGCATAACATTTTTAGAATCTAGGTAATATGTGTCCACAGTGCCGATGTGACAGTCAGGAGAAAAGGCAAGCTGTGGAATGAAGCACAGCCCGCCTGTCACATCTCAATCCAGACTGGAAATGTTTCCCAGGTAAACATAGGAGGCAGCCAAAACAAAGGGTACAGGCGCTGAGCAAGCTTGCACAAACATGCAAACACAGGCCACCCCATGCCACCTGTGCGGCTCTGGCTTCAGAAGGCGGAGGAACTCAGAAGAAAAACCTAACAATTTGCTCTCACTGATAAAAGCTGTTTAAAGTCAGAAGGAGGGCTGAGTGGAGGGGGATGGGTGGAGGACTGGTCGTAAACTAGAGATGGGAGGACAGGGTGGCTTGTTGTCCTGCCAGACCTGGTCAACAGTTGGATAATTTGCACGTAGATGTTAGGTCACTGCTGGAACCCAGAGGAGTGCAGGGGACGCAAAGTGAATGCCAATGGGGACAACATTGGGTGAACTCAATGGCCACAGAAAGCCAGCGAGGGACTGCAAACCTTTCAGTTACTCACACCAAAGTTACTAAGCCTAACAGAAAATCTGCTTGACGGATGTCTACTTTTAAAGTCGAAGAATACAGGCTCGACACTGTGCAGATCTCTATAGAGAACATGTGCTATCATGTTAAAGAGGAAATGTTGTAATTGCTATTTCCAGATTAGAAAGAGTATCAGTGGGGAGGCAGAGTTGACTCCCCGCCAAAAAAGTATAGAAATCTTTGATGACCTGTTAGATTTTGACCGCTGACAGCTACAATGGCATTTTTGGGGGTGGCTGCTACTAGTACTTCGTGCTTTTTAAATCTATTTTTGAGATTTCACAGCTATCAAATCTCCTAAAAATGTACAGTGAGTCTAAAGCCTTGTGATCCTGAGCTAACAGGTTTAAAAAGATAATTGAGACCACAGCCATTCTCCAGTTCTGTATCAGAGAATAATTTCAATGAATGAAAAAGAATGGATAGTTGCAGTTAGCATGTTTTTGGTACTTTACCTTCATGACATTGTCCATGGTGAAGCCAGAGTTCTCCGTACCCAGCTCAGGTAGTAGCTTCTCAAGCAGCTCGGCCCGACTCCGAGCCAGACGAGAAGGGAAGTTGGATTTGAACGGCTTCACCAGCTCACCAGGGATTACCTGCAGGCCGCGTACATCCTTCAAAACAGCAATTTCCTAAAAGAGGGACATGAGAAAGAGACAATGTAACATGTAAAAATCATACAATATCATTGTGGAATGCACCTTTAAATTAAGTAACGTGTGTGTGCTGTAAGCCCCTAACAGCGTGAAACAACACATGGTGATTTGTCAGTCAACACAAGCATCTGTTGGAGAGACATGTCATGACAGAGAAGTTCAGAGAAGTGTACAATTAAAGCAAGACGGAAAAAGGCTCTTGGAAAAACCTCTCAGGGTTTGTTTTGTTTTTTTTGTTGCAATTTTAACCACATCAGAGGAGTGGAATGTATGTTGAAAATATGGGGGGGACACACACGCGCATACACACACCAATCCCTATATAATTTGTTGTCAACATACAAAGAGGCATTCAGTCATTGTCCTAAAGGAGCTCTGAACAGATCCAGAAGGGCAGGGCAATGAATTCAGAGGACCGACACTCATGGTAATAGTCCGCGCAATTGAAACGGAAGCTCACGGACATCCTCCCTTTCTTACTCAACACACACCCACAGACCCATGCATGAGTACACTGTAATAACACTAAGCATCCATCACTCAATTCACCAGCCAGCACTTTCTAGTTTCACCAAACAGTCCATGTGCACAAATAACAAACACCACCTCTTCTGTATTGAACCCGTATGTGTGAGAGACCCAGGTTCGAATCCACTGTGAGACACCAATGTGTCCCTGAGCAAGACACTTAACCCTAGTTGCTCCACAGGCGTGCGACCTCTGATATATATATAGCAATTGTAAGTCGCTTTGGATAAAAGCGTCAGCTAAATGAATAAATGTAAATGTATAAGGAGGCAGTCTAGGCAGTCCGCTTGGCTCCAACATGGGAGAGCACCCCAGACACCTCCAAACTCAGTCTGTATGTCAAGCTACAGTACACCTCTGATTCAGAATTTACAAGCAACATTATTTTAGTGATGCATCTTTCTTGGACGAATCAACAGGTTTGGATGATTACAGAGGTAAAGTAGTATATTTTGATAACAGCTGCATCAATCCAACAACACGGCCTCAATACTGGGGTCCTCAGGGTTCTGTTCTGCCTTCCTTCCTCTTTTCTCTTTACACCAAATCCCTTGGCTCTGTTATTCACTTGCGTGGCTTCTTCTACCAAAGCTATTCAAATAACACTCTATTAATTAAGTCTTTTTCACGGTCTGAAACCCGGGTGGCAGAACGAATCTCTGTCACTTTTCTCAGTGGACATTTGCTCACCACCTGAAGCTCAACATCAGCAAGAATGAGCTGCTCTTCCTTCTTGGCAAGGCCACTTCCATCCACGAACTCTCAATTATCACATACATCCATTCCTAACCCAGGAGGTGGTGCAGGTTCTGGTCCGGGCCTTTGTCATCTCATGCCTTGACGACTGCACCTCACTCTTGGCTGGTGTGCCTGCATGTGCAATCTGACCTCTGCAGCTCATCTAGAATGCAAGACGCTCAGTAGGTCTTCAACCAACCCTACACCACTCCTGCACTGGCTACCTATGGCTGCTCAAATCCGATTCAAGACATTGGTACTTGCCTACCGTGCAAGTACTCTACACAGACTTGTTCAGACTGCACCTTAGCATTTTTAGAAGTGAAGCCTCTCTATGAGCTCACTCATAGGATCACAATTAGCTAGGCACACTCCAATATGCTGTTTGCAGTCACGCGATTCTGATGATGCTCAAAACTCAGAATGAGGCAGGAAGTGAAAGGCAGAACGGCCGAGATGAAGGAAAGCCCGTACAGTGCTAGTTACTGTTTACTCATTGTGTTGTCCCAGTCAACTTGTGTGTGGAATCTGGAATCGCCCAAGTTATTCAATTAAAAACCTATTTTCAGGTCCCAATGACCTTTGATTCAAAAGTGTCACCTATTCAGTGTCCAACCAACTGCCCCTTCTTCTTTCCACTTCGAAGTCTGTTCCCCCGTCTGTTTCCCTCCCGTTAGAATTGAGTTTCCCATAGCGCCAAGTTTAAATTTCACTCCATAGATTTGACATTTATTCATCATTTTACTATTTAGCTGTGGTCTAATGACTTTCTCATGCTGCTCAAAATTCATAACCATAACAGATCCACCTTTCATTCATACATTTTGTATTCATACTAGCTTGCTACTAAACTGGCTATAGCCTGTCAAGCTGGTGCCATTTAACAGTCAGTCTTGGGCTTGGGGGAAGTGGTGTTTATTGTGGTTAGCTAAAAGATGAAAGATCAAATGACATTCTTTTTTTACTTCTTGAACGGAAGTTCCGGTTTTGCCCTTTATAGCATATGTGCAGTAAGACTATAGTGAATCATTTTTCATAAGAGTATGATTAATCTATGAGCACACTGTTGTGGTAATGTTATTATTTTGAGGTAATCTTTCTTTATTAAATGTATTTACATGTTTTTAAAATGGAATTTTTTTTGGTTTGATCATTGCAAAGTTGTATTGGTTTGAATCTGTTTGTGTTTGCTGTCATGGTGTCTAGGTAACTGTTCCGCCATGTAGAGTCTTATATAGGCCCGCCTAATGGGATAAGCGGGTTACTGAAACCCTTTGTATTGGTTACTAGATGACACAAAGTCTACCCTGTTGATATGTGTAGAAATTCACTATGAAGAAGACACTACCACTTCAAATTGAGATATAATAACCATAGACAAATGAGATTAACACAGAGGACATCAGCAGCCTCTTTAGTACATTTTACATTGCATATCACTAAGACTGTGTTCGACGAAATATCTGCTGTATGCTTTACAACACAATGTGTTTTATGGATAAAAAAGAAAGAGAGTGCTGATTTTCCAACATTATTCTACAAAAGCTTCACAAAGCTCTACTCAAAGGAAGATGGAGGGGGAAATGAGGCAGACTGCAAAATTCTTTCTCTTTAGTCAACACAAAGCTGATAAGGAGGCAGAAGGCAGGCTGACAGGAAGCAAAGGGTTAATGGAAATCAACTTGTGCCTTTTGCGACAAATAAATACGTCAGTCCAATGTGTTACAATACCTGTATGAAGGCAGAGGCTGTGGCTCGGAGGCGGCCAGCTGAGTCTCCAGTCCTGGCCAGCAGGTTAGGCCAGGTCTGCTCCAAGCAGTGGGTCACCTCAGCCCGGCCCAAATTTGGGATCAACTGGCTCAGCAGTAGAAGCAGAAGCTTCAAGGAGGCGTGGAAAACCTAAGGGAAGAGCCAGTAGACATTTAGCTCCAAACTTTCCAAGAAAAGCTAGCACCAGGGTGAAGACAATTAACAGAGAGGCTAGACTTGGCAATGTTTAGTTTCAGTTAGTTATGCAGTATAAGTATGCAGATGGAGAGAGACAATCAGTAGTTGTGAATGGAGGTTATTGCAGCTTTGTAGTTTTATAAAGGTTTTTATATTGTACTCGCTAACACGCCAAAAAGATATATCCACCAAACAGTAGAAAGCAAAGACGCCAACTAACCTGTGTTTTTACAGGGTAACTGAATTAACAGTGCTTTCTAAACATTTTTGGAATTTTGTGTTTAACCTGGAAAAACATGACTAAAACCCTGGGCTTCATTCAGATTCAGGATGTAATGACACGACATGCAGCTCAGACCACTGAGTTTCCAGAGAAGTGTCTCTGGAGCACTACCCTTTTCATTACCATACAAGCTGTAGACGACTTCCAGAGAGGGGTTACAAGGCCATCCTTGTCAAAACTGTTTGTTTAAGTAAGCCTGCTCTGTGAGAGAGTAATGGGTTGCATATGGTACAGGGGTAATATTGTTAAGATTATGCATGCGTGAATGTGTGCTTATGATTTCACAACATGAACCTTAGTTCTGTTTGTAAAATGAATCCAGAGAACGTGATTTATAGAAGACTTTGACAGTGACAAAGTAAAAATATCCATACCGCCTTTATACTGCTTTACTGGAAGCAGTTGTTTGATCAACTTCAACTTCATCACATTCAAAGCATCCTCACCAACATAACTTTTTTGTTTGTTGAGTATTTGACTCACAGAGGACACTTTATCCAGGAGGGCTTTCTTGACCAGGAAGACTGCAGCTCTTATCAGGTTTCTCAACTCCTCCCTGGGGATGGCGGGTGGTAGCTCCAAGAGCTTCTTGTACACAGCCAGCAGAGCATCCTCTCTGTAAGACCAGGTTTTGGAATATGCCCCGGCCACCTGGGAAAGAAGACAGGGCAAAAAATTTGCCACAGGGCAGCGAAGACATCACAAATATCAGTTATTGGGGTATTTTAGCAGATATATTTGCATATATGCTGCGTAATGTACTATAAATAGATCATATTTCACACCACATTTTCTAAGTCACCTCAAACATATCTTTAGCATTTCTGTATTGCGGTATCTTGTTACTTATCTGCTGACATTATTGCCGATACAAATATACTTGGCACAGCCGAAAAAGGAGATAACACCTGGCTAGTACAGAATATCATGAAGGGATACCAAAAAGTATTTTTTGGAGTACATAGAAATAAAAACCTGGGAGAAAGTAAAACCCTGAGTTAGCTTTGCTAATCATGTTTTTCTGCCTTTCTTTCTTACCAGGCTTTCTCCATAGACCTCTATTGGCAGGCCAGCCTCTCTCTGGGCTTTCTCTGTCAGGGGCTCTGGCTCTCCACTCATCTCAGGGCTGTGTGGTGTTTTCTGGGTATCGAGTTGGGGAGAGTGATGCTCTGCAGGGCTCTCCACAGGTCGGTCTTTCCTCTGAAGTGTGGGCAGTGGTCTCTCGTCATAAGGCACACTAGAAACCTGTCAACACAAGACAACAACATTGGCATTTAAAGCTTGGAACATTATATTTACTGTAGCATGATCAATGCCGAATCTGATAAACATTTTGGTATCATTACTGATAAAAAACAATTACACTCATCTGAAAGTTGGCCTTAGTTATAATCAAGTTGTGGTCAGAGAACTGATAATCTTTCCCCTGGAAACCCTGCTCATGACCTTTACGGGACTCAAGGTTTTCTCGATTTACAACAGGAAGAACTCACAGGGAATGAACAACAAAGGTTGATAGCCAAAGTCTGACAATTTAAGATGTTTTAGTAAATTACAACTTGCTCACAAACCCTGCAATAACAAGGACTACTTCTTTATATTGACTATTTTCCAGTGACATTCATGGTAATTTGGGAGAGTTTCATTAGTGTACATTGCCTAAATATCTTTCAGCTCAAAGGCTCAAAGAACTAACTAAACTAGACTTTCAAGGCTGAAAAGGAACTCCATCCCTTTGAAAAATGTATCTGCCCTTGTTCTTTTCACTATCACTAGCACTTGATTACCGAATAGGTTGATCGTTCAACATCATGAATGTTTAACCCCCTCTATAGAACCCCCAAGCCCAACAAGCACCCTGCTGCCTCATACAAGGCTCAAAGCCCTGCCTTGAGGCCAGGTTGGCAGCCGCTGGAGTCAGCCAACTGTTGCACACTTTTAATTAAATACTGAAACCCAAACCTGCAGTTGGGCTGGTCTCAGTAGGTGGTGAGTAAAGCATAAAAGCTCCCGCTGGTCATAATCTCCCTATGTGCTCCATGTTCCAACACTACAGAGGCTTAAGGCAGGAGACATGTTCCCAAGGTGCTGCAGAGAGCTAGGCTATTTTTATAAGAATACAGGAATTCCTGGAAAGCAGAAAAAGCTACAGGTCCAGCGGTCTACAAATGGATCATTAATCAGAAAACACAGGGTTTGTCATCATTGACTGTCCATAAAGTCTTCCAATGACTATTGGACAAGTTCTCCTGTTTTTAAGTGTCTGTAGGTGCAGGACATGTTTCATACTGGGTAAATATGTTGTGATGTATTGGATTGTGAACACATTTAAGAAAGCGGTACTTACGTCAATCTTGGGTACAGCAGCAGGGGCGCACGGCATGTCAGGTTGGCTGCTCACTTTGGACGCAACCGTTCCTGTGTCTGACTGTTGGTTCTGAGCAGCGTTAGTTGTTTTCCCCTTCCTGAATGTTTCTGTGGACACAAGGGGCTTGGTGGGGACTGAGCAGTGACCTGAGGGCTGAAGACAGGGAGACTCCTGGGCTGGGGATGAATCTGCTGCCCTCGTGATCTGGTGACATGGTGGAAAGGAAGACCAGAATTTGCTTTAGGCCGAATAAGTCACCCCCCCCCCCATGTCCCATAATTTGTCATCTTGTCTAACACCAACACCTTGGAGAAAAATGTAACTTGTCCATTACACCAACAGTCCCCCTGCTGTTACCACACTGGTAAATCAGTGGTTCGTGACTGACCATTGCCATGTCCAGCAGGTTGTGGACCTCCAGCTGCTGGTAGACGCTCCTCCTGTACTCCTCCATCAGCTCCTTTTTCTTCTTGGCAAGATCATAGTCTTCCTTTTCGATGGCACATCGCTTCTCCACATCATATCGAGCCAAACGCTCCCCTACCTAGAAGAGCCCAGCACAAGGAAAAGTAAAAACACACCTGCAGTGACACAGTGACCCACTGCATGTTTAGACGACTAAACGACTTTTGTATGAGTCTGCTCATGGTATCATGTTTGTGCCTATACTGACCATCACAGTTTATAAGCCGACTTCCTAGTTTCAACTTTGACTTACTGCTACTTTCTGTAGTTGTGCACAGTATTCATCTGCAATGAGAGATTGTTACCAATGTTTCAGGTGAGCTCACTTTTATTTTTTCCTCCACATAAAGTTAAGCCATTGTTGTTTACAACCTGAGTGTCTGATTGCTAGTGTTATTTGCCACCATAGACCTCATTGCGCTGATGTCACTGTGTTTCCAGATCTCAACGATTCCGTTGTTAAGGAGCTGGCTGGTTTAGGGATTTAGGGATTGACTGTCACGAGCAGTTCTGCCATGCACAATAGTACGGCCCTGGTTTATTTGAGGATTTTCAGTCAGGATTTAGAGCTCATCATAGCACAGAGACAGCACTGGTGAAAATTACTAATGACCTCCTTATTGCATCAGACAAAGGACTTGTCTCTGTACTGGTTTTATTAGATCTTAGTGCTGCATTTGATACCATTGACCATCAGATCCTATTGCAGAGACTGGAATATTTCATTGGCATTAAAGGAACCGCTCTAAGCTGGTTTAAGTCCTATTTATCAGATCGATTTCAGTTTGTACATGTTAACGATGAGTCCTCCATGCACGCCAAAGTTACTCATGGAGTTCCTCAAGGATCTGTCCTTGGACCAATCCTCTTCACTTTATATATGCTTCCTTTAGGCAATATTATCAGGAAACATTCCATAAGCTTTCATTGTTATGCAGATGATACTCAGTTATATCTATCGATCAAGCCAGATGAAACTCATCAGTTAGCTAAACTTCAAATGTGCCTTCAGGATGTTAAAACCTGGATGACCTGTAATTTTCTCATGTTAAACTCAGATAAAACTGAAGTTATTGCTCTGGGGCCTAAGCACCTCCGTGACGCATTATCTAAAGATATAGTTTCCCTGGATGGCAATGCCTTGGCCTCCAGCACCACTGTGAGGAATCTTGGAGTTATCTTTGATCAGGACATGTCGTTTAAGTCTCACATTATGCAAATTTCAAGGACCGCCTTTTTTCACCTACGAAAATCAGGAACATCCTGTCTAAAAATGATGCAGAAAAACTAGTCCATGCATTTGTTACTTCTAGGCTGGATTACTGCAATTCCTTATTATCAGGCTGCTCGAAAAAGTCCATTAAGACTCTTCAGCTGATCCAGAATGCTGCAGCACGTGTTCTGACAGGAACCAGGAAAAGAGATCACATTTCTCCTGTCTTAGCTTCTTTGCATTGGCTTCCAGTAAAATCCAGAATAGAATTTAAAATCATTCTTCTTACCTACAAAGCTCTTAATGGTCAGGCACCATCTTATCTTAAAGAGCTCATAGTACCTTACTACCCCACCAGAGCACTGCGCTCCCAGAATGCAGGGTTACTTGTGGTTCCTAGAGTCTCCAAAAGTAGACTAGGAGCCAGAGCGTTCAGCTATCAAGCTCCTCTCCTGTGGAACCAGGTTCCAGTTTGGGTTCAGGAGGCAGACACCATCTCCACATTTAAGAGTAGGCTTAAGACTTTCCTCTTTGATAAAGCTTATAGTTAGGGCTGGCTCAGGTAGTCCTGAATCATCCCTTAGTTATGCTGCTATAGGCCTAGACTGCCGGGGGATTTCCCATGATGCACTGAGCTCCTCTCTCCTCTACTTTCTCTCCCTCTGTATGCAACCTTATCCCATTATTGCATGTTACAAACACAACTTCTCCCCTTTCTGGTAGTCTTGTGCTTTCTCGTCTCTCTCCCCTCTCCTATCACTTCCTGCAGGTTTTCTGGCTCTGGAGCTGTGGAGTCTGGATCTGTGGTTGCGGGTCACCTGCTGCCCCTGTGTTCCTGCTCGACACCCTCTACTGCAACGACTATTGTTGCTAGTCTTATTGTTATTATTGTTATTATAATCATTAACATTATGATGGTTACCATTAACACTATTATAAATATCTGTACCATTTTTCATTCAGTCTATAGCAACATTACCTTCACTGTCTGTACCTCTGTGTGTATATTGTGTAGGCTGCCTCTCTCTCTCTCTCTCTCTCTCTCTCTCTCTCTCTCTCTCTCTCTCTCTCTCTCCTCTCTCTCTCTCTCTCTCTCTCTCTCTCTCTCTCTCTCTCTCTCTCTCTCTCTCTCTCTCTCTCTCTCTCTCTCTCTCTCTCTCTCTCTTTTCTCCTTCACCCCAACCGGTCGAGGCAGATGGCCGCCCACCCTGAGCCATGGTTCTGCTCGAGGTTTCTGCCTCTTAAAAGGAAGTTTTTCCTTGCCTCTGTCGCCTAGTGCTTGCTCTTGGTGGGAACTGTTGGGCTTCTGTAAATAACATCATAGAGTACGGTCTAGACCTGCTCTTTTGTGATTTGGCGCTATATAAATAAAATTGAATTGAATTGAATTGAATTGGTGCCACAGAAACAGAAAGTGTGCCACACGGTGAATCATTGAGATTTACTGGCTGGAAATTTGACAACACTTCCAGTAAGACACACATGTAATGTCTTAGAGAGGAAATTCCATTAAGTTGCTAACCAGGTGCCAAGCGACACAGCCTGAACATCAACGCTTTGTGATTCTTTACTTTCTTTTGGACAAACTCTTAAGTTAAGAGGGCTAATGAAAGTAGTACAGTACAGTAAAGCAAGCCAATTCTCTGCCTTCTGTCCTTTCGTCTTCCTGTGTTTTCAGATATCACTTTATGCCAACAACCATCCTCTGACATCCTGAGGGTGAAATGACAAGGGATTTTCAGCATGACTACGTTGGCAACTGTTTTGTCCGTGATGCTAATATGCCATGCTAATAAGGTGCAAGTGTCTGTGTTATCTGATTACAGAAAGGCTTCTAGCTTGGAGTGCTAGAGACACTACCCGAGGACCATCACCGCAGCTGTTGAGCTTATTAAGAATTCATGGTCAGCATGGTAACACTGTACACAAAAGAGGTCACCAGCAGGAATCTGAGCAATGTTTAACAACCACTGTTACAAACAGTGGTGAACATACAGTGGATTTCTTTAAAAATGATCCACGCCTCACAAACTTGAGATTTGAGAAAAATGTATCATTAATAATCATATTTTCATGGCTGTTTTTTACTGTACGTGGCCTGCTTATGGACTCCAACCTAGCGCTAATCATATGTGGGGTATAATATGTTGCTTCTTAGCAAACTACATTTGCCTTAAAAGCATTACTTATTGTTATAAAAACTATGTAAAAACTGCATACATGTGAGGTGGTTATTTTCCTCCATGCAGGACATTAGCCACTGACAGACAATGATAACAGCCAATATGTCATTCTCAGTGTGCTGTTGGAATAGTGAACTGGAAAGAAATTCAAAGTAAAAAGAGCTGTTAAAAGCCAATGACTAAAAGGAGAGCAGAACAGCAGGGAAAGAAGTTTTCAGATCCTTTACATTAGTAAAAATATTCTACTAGAATTAAAAGTTAGTATCATCAGCAAAATGTACTTCATGTACCAAAAGCAAAAGTGCTCATATGCGGAATGGCCCCCTTCAGTGTTGTAACATTTTGGATGATGATTATCATTGATGTTTAAGAAGTATTTTAATGTAGCTGGTTGAGGTGGAGCTGAGGAACTATGTCACATACTGTTGGGTAGTTTAATCCATAAAAAAATATATTTAAAGAAATGATCACATGTTTTGTATGTACAACCAATGGTCCAGAATAAGGTTGAATACTGGTAATAGGGATCCTGGTATTTTCAATTCTTGACAAAACCTGGCTGCCTTTTGCTGGAAGAAACTTCTAGTAACCAGGGATATTTAGCATGTGCACTTGTGTGTATGTGTGCCTGTGTGTTCATGTACTAGTTGTTTGCACAGAAACTCCAAACCACATTAATAAAATGCAAGTGTCATTGTTAAATACTGGATCAACATAGCGGCAGCTTGTCCCTTTGTCCCAAAACAAAAAACTGTAGTTAGAAACTTGACAAGA